CAAACCGATATACGACCTCGTCAAGCTGGTTGACCATGATGAAACTGACGTTAATCTCAAGCGGAAATATCGCAATCAGCCACCCCCAAACCAACAAATCACTTGGACGGTATCCCATCAATCGGCCTTGGAGAGACTCATTCAATGTCTTGTGAGCGTTCCAGTAATGGCTTATCCAGAACCTAATAGTCCATTCGTGTTGCACACTGACGCATCCGAAAGCGGTCTAGGCGCTGTTCTATACCAACAACAGAATGATATTCTACGTGTCATCGCTTACGGTTCGCGCACGTTAACGACAGCTGAGAAAAACTACCATCTTCATTCCGGCAAACTGGAGTTCCTCGCACTAAAATGGGCAATTTGTGAACAATTCAAAGATTACCTCTATTACGCACCAAGTTTTGTTGTATTCACCGATAACAACCCATTGACGTATGTATTGTCGAGCGCGAAATTGAACGCAACAGGTCTTCGGTGGGTCGGAGAGCTAGCAGACTTCAACTTTACAATTCGCTATCGACCTGGGAAAGCAAACGCTGACGCCGACACATTATCTCGAGCGCCAAAAGACATGGAGAACTACATGAAAGTATGTACTAAGGAGACAACACAAGACGAGTTACGGACAATAGTCCAAACAGTAAAACTCCAAGAGCAGGGAAAGATAAATTGGGTATCTTCATTGATCGACGACCCAAGCATCCTAGAAGTCGACGCATCAAAAACCCGAAAGAGCAACGAATCAACATTGGGGGCGGACGACATAAGACAAGCCCAAATCGAAGATAGTGTTATTGGTAAAGTGTACTCCTTTATTAAAGCAGGTAAGCGTCCAACGACAAATGAGCGAGCCCGTGAATCAACAGAGACACAATCGCTTCTACATGAATGGCAGAGACTGTCAATTGGTTCTGACGGAGTGTTACGGCGGAAGAGAGGAACACACGATCAAATAGTTCTACCCAGAAAGTACCACGCAATGGTACTAAGAGAACTCCACAACAACATGGGTCATCTTGGTTCTGATCGTGTTCTACATCTAGCCAGAGATCGATTCTACTGGCCTCGCATGCAACGAGACATTGAACATTACGTGAAGAAAGTGTGTCGCTGCGTGAAACAAAAACCTCCACGGCTGAAAATACGAGCTCCACTACAACCGATTATAACTTCGTCGCCATTCGAGCTGGTGTCAATCGATTTTGTTCATCTGGAGAAGTCGAGTGGTGGGTTTGAGTACATCTTAGGTGATCGTTGATCACTTTACGCGATACGCTCAAGCTTACGCTACTCGAAACAAAGCTGGAAAAACCGTTGCAGAGAAGCTTTACAACGATTTCGTGTTACGCTTTGGGTTTCCCGCCAAATTCCATCACGACCAGGGCGGGGAATTCGAGAACCAACTTCTCGGAAGGCTGGAACAACTTTGTGGTGTGAAGCATTCCCGAACCACCCCTTACCCCGCAGGGCAACGGCCAAGTGGAAAGATTCAATAGGACGTTGTTGGATATGCTCAGAACACTTCCTGAAAATCAAAAGTCACGCTGGAAAGATCATGTCAACAAAGTTGTACATGCATACAATTGTACACGGAACGACACAACCGGTATTCACCATTCTTTCTCCTCTTTGGACGTCATCCCCGACTACCAATTGACCTTCTACTAGATCCCGACCTAGTAACCACCAGTAAGACTTATCCCCAGTACGTGTCAGAGTGGAGAACGCTATGCATGAGGCATATCGGCTGGCTGGACGAAAGGCGAAAGAAAAAGGTGAGAAAGCGAAGAAACACTACGATCGTTGGGTACGGAGTTCAGTGCTACAGCCTGGCGATAGAGTATTGGTACGGAACTTGAGTGAACGGGGCGGTCCTGGGAAGCTGAGATCATACTGGGAAAAGGACGTTCACGTTGTTGTGCGAAGGAAGAGTACAGAAAGCCCAGTTTACGAGGTTAAACCTGAAGGTACTGGAACGAAGAGAAGAACATTGCATAGAAATCTTCTCCTTCCGTGTGATTTCTTGCCAATGGACAACCAAACGACCGGTGAAGCTCCATTACCACGCCCAAGTAAAAGACGGCGACCGGAACTCGTTAATACGAGAGCAAACAGTAGAAACAGTAGCGAGTTCTCGAGTGATGACGAAGTCGAAGTCGTAGTAAATGTCAATCCAGAGATACAGGCCCTAACCCTCCAGTCGAGAACGAGAACGCAGTCGAGACGAGAACGCAGTCGAGAACGAGAACGCAGTCGAGAACGAGAACGCAGTCGAGAACGAGAACGCAGTCGAGAACGAGAACGCTGTTGAGAACGAGAACGCAGTCGAGAACGAAGACGAAAACGCAGTCGAGATTGAGAATAGGAACGCATTCGAGGACGAGAACGCAGTCGCGACGGAGGTTGTACCAGACGTACCAGAACAGAATGAACAACTAAGAGCAAGAAGATCAAGACCCACCTGACCGCTTGACATATTACGGCCCTGGCCAGGTCGAACCAGCAAATGTATTCTACATGACAGCAACAACCCACCACCACCTCCAGTTATGTGGCCACCTCCCATAACGTTTCCAGTGAATAGACCCTTTCCCTTGTACACCCACCACCTGTGTATTGGCCACCCTTCGTGGACAACCCACCTTATCCATTTCCCCATTCAAACATACCCTTTCCACCAGCCAACCACCAGCAACCAGTGTATGGACAGCCAGCGATGCCGTATCAAGCAAACTGGAATTTCAATTATTAGATAACCTTTACTATTTTTTATATAGAAAAAACGCTCCAAACTTTACAAAATTATTTAGGATGTACAACATCCAGAAGCTATCGAGCAAGATAAGTAGACGTTTACACCACGGTGATACGAGCTGCAGCGTATTATTTTGGTTACGAAGTTAGCAAAGTAGATATTTGATAAGTAGGATCCTGGAAAATACTTAGTAGGGCTGTGATAGATTCATGAGAAACACACGTTTCTGGACTAACAAAGTAACACATAGTACTGTAATTAGAGTAGGAGCATGTTGAAAAATCCCAAGTGTCACGGGACGACACTTATTTCAAGAGGGGGAATATGTTAGGCTCATCCGTAATGTACAATTAGTTAATTAATCTATGACGTAGTTTTGAACTGACAACTGACAGGTTGAAGTACTGTTGAGATATCATATATCATGGGAGTCTGTAGTATTATTGTTGTAGTTTTGAAGTCAGATATATACAGGGGAAAAGGGTGTATAATCACCAGTATTAATAAAGAGTTTCGGAGTACAACGTGTAGTTTTGGAGTATATACATATATCAGGACCTGTACCAACGAGGCTAACATTGACAATAGTGTCAATCCTTTCGTTTTCGGTCTGCAGCGTAAGAGTAGCGTAGTCTAGAGTGTTTTTCTTGTTTCGCTTTTGAGGAGAAAGCTTATGTACATATCCAATGATTGAATCATCCTCACTCTTTGACGCCCAACTCTTCAGCGAAGTGCCTGGCGATTCATGCTCAACACCGCTTCGATCAGTTTCTGTGCCAATTGGAGCGCTTTGTTTTACGCCTTTCGTTACTTTTGAGAATTTTTCGTGACATTTCGTTAGTTTCTTCCTTGAAGACATTCTTCTCTCTCACTCTAGTCGCTATTAAATTTAGTAAATGTACATGTGACTATCGTACCGTATCGAAAAACATGTGATTCAAATGTAATATTTATTGGCTATTTTGTAAATGTACATGTGACTATCACGCATGTCAAAGTAACAAAATCCTGACCAGCGCGCGTGAGCAACACGCTGCTCATAAAAAATTTGATTCCCTTGCGTATAAATTTATTAAACATTTATTATGCGACGGCAGCATCCACCGCCGCTCATACATCGAAAATAGCAGAGTCTGTAAAAGTGTAAACAAGGTTGTGTAGAATGGAATTTACAAGGAAGAATTGTTTACAAGGCAAAACTCATATTAGGAAACTCTTGACTCGTCAGAGCTTTTTATTAAAACGAGGAAGACGAGAAGATAGCCAACGTGTTATCGCCAATCGCTTGACTTGCCAGCGAGCCTCATGTAATCGAGGAAAAAGGCAAGCAGATAGCCAACGTGTTATCGTCAATCGCTTGACTTGCCAGCGAGCTTTAAGCAATGGAAGAAGAAGGCAAGGAGGTAGCCAATGTGTTACCGTCACAAACCCTGTTCACGGGTCTAGCACAACGGTGCAAAATAGTGTTCATTGCAAAGAGGAATCTATGACTATGGGATCTTATGAGAAACTATGTCAATCAAAGCTTATTAAACCTGCTATAAACACTGCTATACAATTTGTAATACAATTGAAACCTAAAATGACATTGAATGACAATATGAAAATGGTTAATGTAACACAACATGATCTTGCGAATTTAAAGTCAAAGGTCAATGAGACTTGTTCTAAAACATGTCAATATCTTAGTACAGAAACAAAGAACGGTAACTATACTGCATTACCAAAATGTGACAATTTAAATGGAAATATAGTACAAGAAGCATTATGCATGCCAGATACTCGTCGTCCATGGAATAAATTTGATCGAAGCAGATCGCGAAATAAACAATTAAAACATGTTAAAAGGCGAGATAGAGAGCCGTCTAGAATTAATGTTGGAAAGTTGGTCCATTTAATGTACAAAAATAGAAAATGTAGGCGTATAATAAAACGGTTTATTAAGCAGTCTATTCCTGAATCATCCGGCTTTCACAAATTGCTTTTAACTAGGTACCGGGAAAATGTTATTCAGCAGCAAACAAATGCGTATATGTGGAAATATAGAAACTATAGAAGGCGGTTTCTTGCAAAGTTTATTAAGAAAGTACAGAGAATTGCACATAAACATATCTTAACGGACAACATGCCAAGTCGGATACATATAAATACTAGAAACCAGACGAGAACGAAGAAACACAAATCGTTTAGTACGCCCAACAGCGCTAGACATATCAAATTTATACACACTACTAAATAGAATATGCAAAGAGTAAAAACATCTGCCAGAAATATCTTATTTTTGTCTGGTGATGTAGAGTTAAACCCAGGTCCTGAAAATATATCAAATATATCAGTATTGACCACAAGACTAGCTCGAATAGGACGAAAACCAGTGAACATTGTCGGCGATGGTAACTGTTTTTTTCGTAGTATAAGTCATCAGCTTTATGGAACAGAGACTCGTCATGCCCAAATAAGAGCTAATGCAATCCAACATTTAATTCTTTGCCCAGAATATTTCATAGAGTCTAATACTGAACAATCATGGTCCCAATATTTACAAAACATGTCAAAGCTAGGGTCATGGGCCGACCATATTATCATACAAGCCGTTGCAAATATAAATAATTTAAGAATTCACATCACAGAAAGTTCCCAAAATTTCAATGAAACTACAATTGTGACTTCTATTTATGCTCAGTCTGTAGCAAATGTAAAAGAAATTTACATTGGACATCTTGAGGAACTACATTATGTTTCTACCACGCTAATTAATCAATTTCGTGGACAAATAGAAAATCAGATAGGAGCTAGTAAAACAAAATTACAAAATTCTGTATCAGATAGTAATAAGATTATCTCAGAAAATCTCGTTTATGCGAAAACTATTCAAAAAAGGAGAAAATACATGAAAGAATATATGAAAAATAGAAGGATGAATAATGAATTCAAAAAGAAAGAAAGTGAGAGAAAAAAATCGTATAATAACAAGTACAAAAATTCCAATGATGATAAAGTTAGGGACTCCTGGCAAAAAGCCACCGCAACTTATAGACAAACAAATCCTGAGAAAGTAAAAGAAAGTTTTAAGATTGCCACTGCAACATACAGACAATCAAATCCTGAGAAAGTGAAACAGAGTTCTAAGAGAGCCACTGCAGCATATAGAGAAACGAATCCGGAGAAAGTAAAGCAGACTTTTAAAGCAGCCAAAACAGCATACAGACAATTAAATCCCAAAAAAGTCAAAGAAAAAAATAAAACAGCTACTGGAAAATACAGAAAATTAAATCATACAAAATTTGCAGAATCATCCAAATTGTCAAATGTTTTGTATAAGCACAACCATTCTCAAAAAGTAAAGGATACTCAGAAAAGGCAATACATGAAAAGAAAGTTAGACTATATTGAAAATGGCTGTAAGATGAGAAAATACAATAAAATAAAAGATTTGAATGACAATTTACATGAAGCTTATCAGATAACTGGTAAGACCAATGACTATAGACAACAAATTAACATAACAAAGGCACTTGAGTTATTTCATAAAAAAATTGGTAAAATTCCAGGTTGTGCAAAAGCAAAAAAATGACTTTCCCAGAAAAGCCTGAGGTCTTAAAAAACTTAACAAATCTTGAAGAAAGATTAATTTCTCCAAGAATACCTTTTATGCAGGTGCGGGAATTGCCTAGTGGAGGTCAATTAAGTATTCATGGTAATGTAGTTAATGTTCCTGCCGATGTTAACACAACCGTTAGTGTTTTACCAAGACCATTGAACGAGTCACAAACTATTCCAATTAAATTAAAACGTCGTCTCGGTTATAAACACCATTATCAATTTCCATCTTTAAAGCGAGAGCACATGCATTATGTTGCACTTAGCAGACTTAGAAACATTTCGGGATTACATATTCTTAATTTGAACGAAAAGAAAATAGCAGTGAGCAAGAAAGTACAAGAAGAAATGACAAGACTAAGACAAAATTGTGTACTTAAAAGTCATCTTCAATTTCTCTATAAAGATAGAACTGAGACATTTAAAGTATTATTCCAAAATATAAGATCATTACATCTTCACGTTGCTGACGTTGCTCGTGATTATAATGTACAAGCAGCAGATATAAATATGTTTGTGGAAACTGCTCTATGTAATAATGACGACAGTGAATTATATCAGATCCAAGGCTTTCAACTATTCAGAAATGACTTCATCCCTGATGGTGCTAGAACACCTTATGGAACTGCTGTAATCATGTAGAAATGACATTACTTAAAGTAAACCAACCAGTAAATAATTTACATATTGTTGGAATTTATCGCTCTAAATCAAAAGTAAAAATTTCAAGGTTCATTGATGCTTTAAAACATTTACACTCTACGTATATAAATGATCCAAATACTCCTGCTATCATTCTTGGTAATTTTAATGTCAATCTTCTTGAAAATGCATCCGACAAAAATACACTTACTAAGTATTTAATCGAAGAAAAGCAATATGTGCAACTTATTAACCAAGTAACAACAGACTATAAAACACAAATTGATCACATATACACTAATATTCCTGAAAGAGTAAACAATAGTGGAGTTTTAGAATCGTACTTTAGCGACCATAAGCCTATTTTCCTCTCACTAATTGGATATTTAAGTTACTACAATAAATATCAATCGTTAATATATAAAAAACTATACAAAATTTCAGTTCACAATAGTAATATAGTCAAAATCTATAAAAAAGTTATTCTTCACAGCAAACGTAGAATGTCCAGAATGCATGACTCAAAAACCAAAAAAGTTATTCTTCAAAGCAAAGTAAAAAGGTCCAGAACACTCGATACACTGACTAAAAGATCCTGGCCCTTCTCTCTAATTAGAAGGTCTATGTCCCTACGTACTCGGGACAGAAAAAGACTTCCCCATGGTGACCTCAAGCCTTTGACTACGTAAGTTTTTTTAAATGTCATTTTGTGATTGTCATTATGTGTATTCTTATATTCTCTTTTCATTATTTCAGTAACATGATCATCAATCGTACTCAGTAAAGATATTTGCCTAAGATAATGAAAGCAATAACTAAGGTATTGGGACGTATTATTACGTAAAGTTTGTGATCAAATCTAATTATTTAAAAAAATATTCTTTTAGCTGTTCAAACTCATGTATTGCGTTGAAGTAACTCCTTATTTTCTATTGCAGACAAAATCACACAAATCCAAGAACAAAACTACAATATTGTAAACGGTCAGGTATTCTCATACATGAAAACTACCGAACTGCAATCAAGTTCAATCATAAAGAGCGAATTCCAGACAGAGTGAAAGATAACAAGAACACACAGGTTCAACATAAAAGCTACGAGGAATTAATGCAGACACAAGAAGAATCTTATTCAAAAGTGGACTGTCAATTTCTAGAAACGGATTTTTCAGTTGAAAGCTGACGTCAGTGTTCTATCTCAAACGAAGAAAAATGTGGTGAAAGTAAATAACTACGATTTATCTACCAATCAATCTAAAAACGCATGCATGTCGAATACTAATGGAAACAAAATATCACCGAACGTATACAACAGTCAATGTGCTGCAAAACTTATATCATTTCCATGCAATGATACATTATGCAATGATATACATGATCGTTCATTTCTGAATATACTGAAATATGGTGTATAACACGTCCATTAATGACCATGCAGTGCAAGAAACAACTGATGGTAAATCGATTAATAGTACCACATTGTAACAAGGTGTGGAACTCGACGAATGGTTAGTTTCACAAACAGTTATAATTTTAAAGCTTCCAACATAATTATATCAAATACGCATCATTATACCGTTAGAGGAGACACCACCAAATCTCGTACTTCAAACGAATAGTCTCTCACTATATGTAATTCCATGTGTACCTTGATTTCTTTATAGCAAAAAGTGTGAAATAAAATAGATAAATATTATACCACAGATGAACTCTTATCACAAAGACTAAATGGGGAAATAAACAATTCAAAAAGCCTTATCGTACTTCTCTGATCGTAATTTGTGAGACTGATTCCAAACCAAGTCATAGTATCGTCATATTTCCGTTCAATCTTTTCTTTCAAAGCAACTAATTAGGGAACCATAACGGATGCTTTTTAATAAAATACGGCGTTCTTCTCAGCATATTCAGATGCAAAACGGTTTGCAACAAGAATAATTTTTACGTGAGAGCACCTAGCGTTTGGAACATTCTCCCAAGCGATATTCGTGACACTTCAAGATCATTAGCATACTTCAAAAACTCTTTAATGAAGTATTATTTGAACCTTCTCGAATATGTTTACGATTCGGACAATCCAAAAACATTCAAATCAGTGTGCGTTAAGTGCCACACAACTCGGCCTCTTCTAAGTCTATCAGAGAGGTCATGCTGTTGATAATCAATGCAAGAATTTCGTTTTAAGCTCGTTCGTAATGTTAAATATTTCAGTTATTCTTGTTTTACAATTGTGACTTTGTGTATGGGACCCCGTTATTGGAGATTACCTCTGTGGTCAGTCTTTGCTAGTGTTGTATGTAAATGTGTCTGTACTAAATTTGTCTGTCATGTTTGGCGAATCTTGTAAAAATAAAAAAAATTAAAAAAAATAAAAAAATAAAAATAAAATAAAAATAAAAAAACTTTGCACTATCCTTGGATCCCTAGTTGGATGTAGGTTTTCACCTGTGTTCTGGGGCATATTCACATTTATTAACACAGTCAGGTTTGGGGTTGTCCTCTATCAGTTTTTAAACCACTGAAGAAATTCCTTTATAATGCCATTTATTTCAATATTTCATATTACTTTGTTATGAAACTATTAACATTATTCCCACAAATATTAGCAACTACTATTATTTGATCATTACAGGGCTACATATGCTGGTAAATTACAGCAGTTGGTGCATGACTGCTTGTTGGACAAACTGTTCATATCATATCCAAATTAATAAAAACTAACATGTAGGCTACCTATACACTAATATGCATATAAACTATGTTTGAAATAATTCAGTGCATTTACAACATTTTAATTTCAATTTTTTTGAAAACCTAATTAATATAAAACAAAGTATATCCTATATAAACATAATAGGGGAAATATTCCTCATGACCCGTGATTTGAAATGAATTGATTTGATATGAGTTTATTCAAATTATATTCGTCTACCCTCATAGAACAAAGGCAAGCAATATCAGTAACAATAAGATTTATGTATAAACCAAACTTGATTAGGTTCGCGTAGTTGGAATTACAACCAAGTTTAATGGCTTATAAAAAATGCAATGCAAGGCCTGTAACTAATGTAAGAGCAGTTTTCGAAATTTTACAAGTTTAAAAACAAGGTCAGGAAGGGTTTTTACGGAACACCGCCCCGTTTGTTTACAAGGGATGAAATTATAAAAAGTTATAACTCTGTAGTTTTTTATTGATTTTCATATGGTATAATAATATGCTTTGGTGGACAATAAATCAAAAACCAATTGCTTTTTGTTGGGATAAATTGGAGGAAATAATTTGTATATTAGTGTAGGTCTGTTGACAAATTTTCATATTAAAAGCCGTTATAATGTGTCTTCAGCGAGCTGCCAAACACGGGCGCCCAATTTCAATAAAGATTTACTCAAAAAGTCACCTGCACTACTAAAAACGGTCTTGTAGATGAGGTGCAAGGTGGGTCAAAAAGGGAACTGCAGTTTTTAGAAGCAATAAGACATAATTTTCACTTATGTTAGAGGAAATCACAGAACTCTAACTTTTTGCAAATGTGTAGCTATATTATTGAAATTAACCAGAACGCCAAACAAAATAATTTACAAAACATAATTCACAAAACAAGGCTGGTTACTTCAGATCAATGTGTTAATTTCCTATTGTATTAAATCTGTGAGATAACATACCTTGGTAGATTATGAGTGAGAATTCCTGAGTTGATTAAGCAAGTACAACTTGTTGAACGGACCACCATAGGAGCACGGGAATTTTTTTGGCTTGCGCTTCACAGAAAATCACACCTCTTATACGGCTTGCCCTATTTCATGTCAACCAAATTCCTTATAACTCGACTATGGTGCCATTTGATAACCTGTATTCCACCATTACAAAATACCGAGTTAGACCTCATAGTCTTTATCCATAAGAAATTAAAGTTGAAATAAAACAAGTCCTTCGTGCAGGTGTTCTCGTCCCGTCGCACGCGTATTTTCGAGACATTTCTTTCGACGCGATCAAAACATCAACAAAAACCCCAAATCCTTCGATACATCGACGTATGAAAGACGGACTACTTTTCTTTTTGTATAAATAAATTTCAAACCAAAACATTGTCCGATTTTTCTACAATCCGGATATGAAAATACTATGTTTTGTGTTTTTTACTTCCTTTCACGCTTTGCCCGCGCTTGGAACAGAAGCCTGAAACTAATCTAAAAATCAACCAATCAGACAAATGTTGCCTTATTTGGTTAAAAGTGTCAAAAACTCAACGATGCCTACCCCCTAGGGGTAAAATAAGCCTGGAAATCGATTTCTGGGATAAATTTGTCCCTAGAAGTTATATATTCGGCCTTT